CAGAAGAAATTAAGGATGGAATAAAGAAATTCACAGAATCAAACAAGAATGAAAACACATCCTACCAGAACCTATGGGATGCAGTGAAAGCAGTGTGCAGAGGTCAGTTTATAGCAATCAGTGCACTCATCCAAAAAGAAGAAAGAGCCATAATCAAAACATTAACCCTACAACTGGAATAAGTAGAAAGATAGCATTTAAAGAAGCCCTCAGGTGCCAGAAGAAAGGAAATAATAAGAATGAGAGCAGAATTAAATGAAATAGAGAATAGAAAGACAATTGAAAGAGTTAACAAGACCAAAAGCTGATTCTTTGAAAAGATCCACAAAATTGATAAACCATTGGCCAAACTGATAAAAGAAAAACAGGAGAGGAAGCAGATAACCCGTATAAGAAATGAGATGGGTGATATCACAACAGAAACTGAAATTAAAAGAATCATAACAAAATACTATGAAAAATTGTACTCTTTGACAAATTTGAAAACCTACGGGAAATGGACAAATTTCTAGAAACTCACTACCTACTTAAATTGACATAAACAGAGGTAAAACAACTAAATAAACCCATAATAAAAGAATAGGTTGAAAAGGTAATTTAAAAATTCCCAACCAAAAAAAGCCCTGGCCCGATGTCTTCACTGGAGAATTCTACCAAACTTTCAGAGAAGGGTTAACACCACTACTACGAAAGGTATTTCAGGGCATAGAAAAGCATGGAATACTCCCAAACTCTTTCTGTAAAGCCAGCATAACCCTGATACCAAAACCAGGTAAAGACACCACAAAAAAAGAAAATTGCAGACCAGTATTTCTTATGAACGTTCATGCAGAAATCTTCTAAAAAATTCTAGCCTATAGAATTCAGCAACATATTAAAAAAATAATTCATCATGATCCAGTGAGATTTATAGTAGGTATGGAGCGATGATTCAACATTAGAAAAGCAGTCACTGTAATCCATCATACTAATAAAAGAAAAGACCTACATGATCTTATCAATTAATGTAGAAAAGACAATTGAGAAAGTCCAACACCCATTCATGATAGAAAGTCTCAGTAAAATAGGAATAGAAGGGACTTTCCTGAATATAATAAGGACATTTATGCAAAGCCAACACCCACATCAGCCGAAATGGAGAGACTTTGAAACATTCCCCTTTAGAACAGGAACAGACAAGGATGCCCTGTATCACCACTCTTATTCAACATTGTGCTGAAGGTCATAGCCAGAGCAGTTAGGCTAGAAAAAGAAATAAAGGGCATCCAAATTGGTAGGGAAGAAGTGAAAGTATCTCTGTTTGCAGATGATCTTATACAAAGAAAACACTAAAGAAAACTACTGGAACTCTAATAGAAGATTTTAGCAAAGTTTCAGGTTCAAGATAAACATACAAAAGACAGTTGGATTCTTTTACACCAACAAAGAGAACCTTGAAGAAGAAGTCACCAAATCAATACCATTTACAATAGCCCCCAAGAAGATAAAATAGGATTAAATATAACCAGAGATGTAAGAGACCTATACAATGAAAACTAAAAGACACTACGGTAAGAAACCAAAAGAGACCTGCATAAGTGGAAAAACATACCTTGATCACGGATAGGTATACTGAACATAGTGCATATGTCAGTTCTACCCATAGCAATTGACAGATACAATGCAATCCCAATCCAAATTCCACCGGCATTTTTTAATGAGATGGAGAAACAGATCACCAGCTTCATATAGAAAGGGAAGAGGCCCTGGATAAGTAAAGCATTACTCAAGAAGAAGAACAATGTGGGAGGCCTCAAACTACCTGATTCTAGAACCTATTTTACTGCCTCGGTAGTCAAAACAGCCTGGTACTGGTACAACAACAGATACATAGACCAATGGATCAGAATTGAGAACCCAGACATAAATTCATCCACCTGTGAGCAGCTGATGTTTGACCAAGCCCAGAGTCTGTTAATTGGGGGAAAGACAGTCTCTTTAACATACGGTGCTGGCTAACTGGATATCCATGTGCAGAAAACTGAAACAAGACCCATACCTCACACCATGCACAAAAACTAACTCACACTGGATGAAAGACTTAAATATAAAATCAAAAACAATGAAGATCATGAAAGAAAAAATAGGGACAACACTAGGAGCCGTAATATGCGGCATAAACAGAATATGAACCATAAGTAACAATCCACAAGCACCAGAAGAGAGATCAGATAAGTGGGAGCTCCTAAAAATCAAACACTTAGACTCATTGAAAGACTTCAGCAAAAGAGTCAAAAGATAACCTAGAGAGTGGGAAAAAAATTTTGGCTACAACAAATCCGATCAGCGTCTAATCTCTAAATTCTGTGAGATACTGCAAACCTTCAGTAACAAAAGACAAATATCCCAGTTTAAAAATGTGCAAAGGATATTAACAGGCGCTTTGCCAAAGAAGATATTCAGGCGGCTAACAGACAGATGAAGAAATAAATGCTTGCAATCATTAGCCATTAGAGAAATGCAGATCAAAACTGCAATGAGATATCATCTCACCCCAAGAAGACTAGTATTAATCCAAAAAACACAAAATAGTAAATGCTGGAGAGGTTGTGGAGAGACTGGAACACTTACACACTGTTGGTGGGAATGTAAAATGGTACAAGCACTTTGGAAGTCGATTTGGCCTCCTTAAAAAGCTAGAAATAAAGGTACTATACGATCCAGCTGTCCCACACCTTGTAATATATCATATAGAAGTAATAGTCGTCATACGAGTAGATATATGCACACCCATGTTCATCGCAGCACTGTTCACAATTGCAAAAAGATGGAAACAACGTAGGTGCCCATCAGTGGATGAATGGATAAACGAATTATGGTATATCCACGCAGTGGAATACTATGCAGCGATAAAGAACAATGATGAAGCTGTGAAACATAACATGGAGGAATCTGGAGAACATTATGCTGAGTGAATTTAGTCAGTCACAGAAGGACAGATATATAAGATCACTATTATAAGAACTCAGTAAAAGGTTTAAACGCAGAAGAAAATATTCTTTGATGGTTATGAGGGTAGGGAGCGAGGGTGAGGGCTATTAACTAACTAGATAGTAGATAAGAATTAGGTGAAGAGAAGGACAGCACACACTACAGGGGTAGTCAGCACAACTGGACTAAACCAAGGCTAAGAAGTTGCCTGAATACAATCAAATACTTGGAGCGATAGAGTAGCAGGGGTAGGGGTCTGGGAACCATGCTTTCAGGGGACATCTAGGTTAACTGGCATAACAAAGCTTATTAAGAAAATGTTCTGCATTCTACTTTGGTGAGTGGCGCTTGGGGTCGTAAAAGCTTGCAAGCGGCCGTCTAAGATGCATCCATTGGTCACAGCCATCTGGAGTAAAGGAGAATGAAGAACACTAAAGATACAAGGAAAGTATTAGTCTAAGAGACAGGAAGGGCCACTTAAACCAGAGACTTCATCAGCCTGAGACCAGAAGAACTAGATGGTGCCCGGGTGTCACCAATGACTGCCCTGACAGGGAATGCAACAGAGTGTCCCCTGATGGAGCAGGAAAAAGGTGGGGTGCAGAACTCATATTCTAGTAAGAAGACCAGACTTAATGGTCTGACTGAAACTGGAGGAACCCCAGAAAGCATGGCCCCTGGATTCTCTGTCAGCCCATTACTAAAACAATTTCCAGGGCCACCTCTTTAGACAGGGATTGGACTGGACTGTGGGACATAAAGTGATCCTTGTGAGGAGTTTGCCTCTTAGCTCCAGTAGATAGAATGGACTAAATGGGCAGCTTCTGTCCAAAGGTGAGATGGGAGTGCAGATAGGATTAGGAGCTGGTTGAATGGACGTGGGGAATCAGGGGTGGAAAGGAGGAGTATGCTGTCACAGATTGGGGAGAGCAGTTGGAGTTATGTAACAATGTATGTATAAAGTTTTATATGGGGAAAAATGCAAAAGTCAATTTGTGGGGAGGGTGGTCAGAGAGAAATCAGTTTCTGAGTGGCTGAACTAAATAATGTTAAAAATAAGGTAAGATGAAATATCATTTATATAAATTACCAATTTTAGTAATCGTTAGATATTACATAGATCTTGAAAGCTAGGAGTGTCAAAACAGTTTTTCAAAAAAATAATGGTAGATTTACCCAGTAAGATTCAAAAATATATTACTAAGTAGAGTTGATCAAAATAGAAAAGTTGATTAATTTTAATTGATTATTATCATGACCTCTCATATTAAAAAATTAAAAGCATAGAAGTGGCAGAAAATCTCAGTACAGTAGAATTTAAGGTATTGTGAGTAAGCTACTTGATGTGTGCCATGCAGAATTTTTTGCAATAAATTCTAGATGAGTCAAAGCACTGCCTAGAAAGTTTAGTGGAATATATTTTTGCTCATTTACTTCAGTCTTGGTCTGGAAGATAACGTTTTTGATATGTTTTCAAAATACAGGATGCCATTAAAATGAGATGAGTAAGTAAAATGAAAACTTGTGTTTGATCCACGTTTAATGATATACATAAAGGGAAATAAGATGTTAGGAAAAATAAGGTATACCTTAATGTATAAAGGCTGGTTACCCCAAAATTTAAATTATTGAGATGACTTGATTAGTGGTAGAAACAGGTACAGATATTTTAACAAGAAAGTGAATGAGCTGCTCAATTACCAGTGAAAGAAGTGGAAAGATACTTTCTTAAATGTCTAAAATACAGAATTGTTAAACTTGCAATGTTGTCTGGACTGTTACAAAACAAAACATTATGTGTCATTTGAGTGATACTTTGAAATTATTCATCATGTTGGAAGTAAATATGGCTATATGAAATGATAATATTCTTTTTTGGTTCCATTTATATGAACATAACTTAAGGAAATAAAAGTAAGGTAATGTATATAACAAGGTTCATAAAAGTCCTATCAGTAACAAAAAGAAAATTGCTTAAGATATTTTAGAAGTAAAAAATAATAATTTGGTCTGTTTCTTTCTCGCTAAAGAAACAAGGTCCAACCAATCCAATGCTGTTTCACCTTGTTCGAGATGTTAAACAGGTAAGAGATTATTTTTGTTTTTGAAAGAATACTGTTTTAAACGCAGTAATTAAACATTTTATGATTCAGATTAATAAGTAGAGATTTATAAGAGGTATCAATATGTTTTGAGAAATTGCTTATTATGACAATTTTTAGATAATTCCCATTAGTTTCCTTAATTAAAAAATTTCCCATTCTTAAGGGGTACAGAGTTTTTGTTAAGGGTAATGAAAATAATTGAATATGAACAATGATTGTTGTATAACATGGTGAATGTAATTAATTTTACTGAATTATACATATAAAAAGTGGTTGAAATGTTTTGTAACATATGGTTTACCACAATAAAAATTAAAGTAGAGGAGGGGGGAGCCAAGATGGTTGACTAGACAGAGACACTACGCCGTCGCTTTGCAGCAAAGACCCAAAAAACCAAGTAAAGCAGATACAGATGTCAGTCCTGGAACCCTGAGCATCAGCTGAAGGGATAAAATCTAGATTGAACGGCGAGTAGAAAAAGAAACTGACTGGAAATGGCAAACAAGAAGGGACGGAGCTGAGGTGCTTAGCCAACAAGCCCGGCACAACGTGGCCATCTTGGGACAAAGACAGCCGTGATCCCAGGTGTAAGGAGTATAGGAGGCAACTTCATGGAATTCCCATCAAGACACAGAAACTGAGGAGACACATCCAAAGTAAAACCAGGCGAACAGCAGCGCAAACCCCCCCATCTTTGCACCTGAGACCGCTGGGGATAATAGCACAGCCTGTCCCTTCCCCCACACCTGGTCAGCTGCCTCGACTTCCCTGCCCACTCGGCCACACTGAGCGCCGGCAGGCTGCTATAGTGCCAACCTAGCCACCCATCCCTTCCTACTAGCCTGAATAAATGTGCCGTATACTGGTAGGCTGCCCCAGCACAGTTTTAGCTACCTGCCCTGCCTTTCCTACCCAGCCGCTCAAGCTGAGCGCCAGTAGTGTGCTCTGGCACAGACTGGCTGCCACTCCTCCTTTCCTACACTCCTGATCAAGTCCAGCATTGGCAGGCCGCTCCAGGGTAAACCTGGCCCCACTTCCCACCTTTCTCACCTTTCTTGCCTGCCCAATCAAGCCAAGTGCTGGTAGGCTGCTTCAGTGTGGCTTTGGCCACCCTGTACGATTGAGCTGAGTGCTGGCAGGCTGCTCTGGTGCTAACCAGCTGCCTGCCTCTCCTTTCAAGCCAAGCGCTGGTAGGCCGATCCGACATGGATCCGCTCTGCTTGCCCCTCCCTTCTCACCTGCTGACCCCACCAAACACCAGAAGACCACTCTGGTGTGGCTTTGGCCACATGCCCAGCCTTTCCTGCCTCTCCCATCGCCCAGCTGTGCCAAGTGCTGGCAGGTTGCTCTGGCACAGACCTAACCACCGGCTCAGCCCTTCTTGTCTACTGACCCAAGCAAGCAAAAGCAGGCTGTTCCAGTGCAGTTTTGTCTGCCCACCCAGTCCTTCCTGATGATGCACACGTGCTCATCTGCTAGCCTGCCTGTCACCGCCCCCCCAGCAAGGCAAGCCAGAGCGACTGCGTGCCCGTGCACTTGAACGCCCATCACCCACCTCCCTCGCCTCCCTGACCTGGTGAACAGAGGCATCTGCGCCCTCCTATGCCTAGCCATCCTTGCCAGGGCCCGCAGAACCAGCAGCGCCCCCTGTTCCTTCCAGCCACTTCAGCTGCAGGCTCAAGGACTTGTGGCACACCCTCCTCCGCAGCACACTCTAGCAGACGGACATGCTTTCCAACTAGGCATTTGTGGAAGGTGGCATCCTCCCTGCCTTGCCCCCTGTAGCTCCCCACCCACCCAGTAACTGGAGGCTTATGCTGCTCCGACCACCGCTGCTCAGCTCAGCCCAGCCTGCCTGGGACCATCAGAGTTTCTGTGCCACCCACCTGGTGGTGACCTCGGCACCCTTGTCCAGAACACCCAGATAGTGACAGTGTATATACACAACACCCAGTCCAGTGACCAGTGAGAATGCTTTCTGTACCCGTGCCCAGATGACTGGTTGGACAGACACATCTTACCGGAAGCACCAGCTACATTCTCAGCCGCCCAAGGCCAGCAAACAGAGGTGTGCTTATACTCCCACCCATGCGGAGATAGGAGGTGAGAGCTCCAGTGCGGCCAGATTAGTGACCACAGTAGCACACATACCCTGCCTGCTTGGATATATCAAAACAAAGCAAAGAAACAGGATACAGCAAACAACATACAATAAAGTCAATAAATAACACCTTTATGTTTCAGAGACAACAGACGATATAAAATCTCATAAAGAAGCAGGTCAGGGTAGCTCCAACAAGTGACCAAAATAAAGAACCAGAAAACCTTCTGGAGGAAGAAATGGTAATGAAACTACTTGATGAAGAATTGAGAAGACTAACATACAGTGTTCTCTTAGAGATCAAGGAAAACACAGACAAAACAATACAGGAAAACAATATAAAAGGAAAATGACAAAATAAGTAGACAATTAGATACCATACAAAAACAGCAGATCCAAAAAGCGCAACAGTAAAATTTGAGTAATAGACAACTTAATAGAAAAGTATAAGAGCAGAATTGAATACTGGAAGACAGACTTAGCAAAATGGAGGACAAATCCCTTGACACCTGTTTGTTTGAGGAAAAATCAGAAAGAAAGAAACCCTAAGAATTATGTGGGAAACTAACGAGGAAAAATTTACGTGTGGTAGGAGTTCCAGAACAGGGGTAGGCAATAGAAAACAGAAATGTTAAAGGTTTTTTTGCTGATAAAAACTTCCCTTATGTCATGAAAAACAAGAAGATACTTATCCAAGAAGCTTAGTGAACTCCTTATGTGATAGACCCCAATAAAAAGTCACCAAGATACATCCTAATCAAACTTAAGCAAAACCAAAGGCAAAGAATCCTGAGAGCAACTCAGGAAGAACAAATGGCCACCTACAAAGAGGAACCAATAATAATAAGCTCTGATTACTCAGCAGAAGTCATGTAGTCAAGAAGACAGTGGGATGACTTAGATAAAACCTTGAAAGAAAAAAAAATTGCCAACCAAGAATTACATATCCAGCAAAATTATCTCTGAAATATGATGCAGAAATCAAGACATTTCTAGATAAACAGAAACTAATGGAATTCATAAAAATCAGAACAACTTTATAAGAAATATTAAAGGAAGTCCTTAGGACAGAGAACCAACAACATCACACAACTACCTGAGGTTAGGACACAGAACAGCATGAGCAAGATACCAGCCTAGATAAACAATTCTCAAAATTAAAACAAAGCTAGAAGACTGAAAGTGGAAGCAGAGATACCAATCTGTAAATGACAATGTCTAAACAAAGAGAAGGAGTAAATAGTGTAGGTATAGAACTTTCAAATGGAGAGGAAGTTAAGGTGATATCAAGAAATAAAAGACTGTTCTAAACTTAGGAAGTTAAAAGTAAATTTCAAGGTAACCACAAAGAGTACGTCAAAATAAAAACCAAGAACAAAATGTCTTAGTGATCACAAAATGAACAATAAAATAAATGAAAAGAACATCCACAAACAAACAGAAATTACACAGAAAATTAAGTGGAACAAAGAAATCGTCAGTGTCTCACACACACACACACTCACACACTCACACACTCAGACACTCACACACTAAATGTAAATGGCTTAATTGTACCAGTAAAGAGACAGAGAGTAGTATAATGGATTAAGGAAATGACCCATTAATACACTGTCACAGCAGACACACCTTAGACACAAAGACATAACAAATTAAAAATCAAAGGATGGAAAAAAGTAAGCAAACAACCAAAAAGAAGCAAGAGTGGCAATATTAATCTCTGGTAAAATAGACTTTAAGGTAAAATCCACCATAAATGATAAGGAAAGAGATTATAAAATGATTGAAGTGTCAATTCACCAAGAGGGCATAACGATAATAAATATATACCAACCCAGTGACAGAGCTCCAAAATGCGTAAAACAAACTCTAACCACACTGAAAAGAGAAGTAGACACTTACACAATAGTAGTAGAAGACTTCAACAAATCACTATCGGTGAAGGAGAGAAGAACTAGAAGGAAATTAAAGATATAGAAGATCTAATTGTCACACTCAGCAAACTTGACCTTACAGACATATACAGAACATTTCACCCACCAGCAGCTAAGTATACTTTCATTTTCAGTGGACATCGATCATTCTCCAGAATAGACTACATTATAGGCCACAAAGGCACCCTCAATGAAATCGAAACCATTGAAATAATGCAGAGCATCTTCTGTGATCACAGCGCTACAAGGGTTGAAGTTAGTAACAGAAAATCAAGAAGAAAAGTTGAATATATGGAAACTGAATAAAACCTTACTTAAAAACCAGTGGGTAATAGAAGAAATGAGAGATGAAATAAATTCCTAGAATCAAATGAGGATGGAAACTCTGCTTACCAAATCATTTGGGACACAATAAAAGCAGTGCCCAGAGGACAATTTAGAGCAGTAGACATACATATCAAAAAAAGCATTCAGATCAAAACTTTCACCCTACAACTTGAACAAATAGAAAGCAAGCAGCAAAAGAAGCCCGCTATCACCAGAAGGAAGGCAGTAATAAAGATTCGAACAGAAATAAATGAAATAGAGAACAGAAAAACATTAGAAAAACTCAGTAAGACCAAAAGTTGGTTCTTTGAAAAATTCGGTAAAATCAACAAACCATTGGCCAAATTGACAAAAGAAAAATAAGAAAGGAAGCAAATAACCCATTGAAGAAATGAGATGGGTGACACTACAACACAACCAACTGAAATAAAAAGAATCATGACAGAATACTATGAAAAATTGTACTCTAAAAAATTTGAAAACCTAGAGGAAATGGACAAATTTCTAGAAACTACCTACCTACCTAAACTAACACAAGCAGAGGTAGAACAACTAAATAAATCCATAACAAAAGAAGAGATTGAAAAGGTAGTTTTGAAACTCCCAAGAAAAGAAAC